GAGCAGGAGGAAGAGGAGGAGATGAAAACATTAGTGAAGAAGAATAAATATATGTGAGGAATAAAGATGAAGTGTCAGAAAGAGGGACAGAGGCAGGGATCAGGAGGCAGATGAAACTCCAGCTGGACCACATGGTATGTTCTTATTCTCCTTACATATTCCATTACAGCAGCACAATCTAGCAGCTCTTAGTATTGACAAATATTGATTGAAATGTGTTGCTGCACAGGTCACCTGTAGCTCTCTGAAGAGATGGGTGATGTCATTTGTGTACTTAATTATAACTAAGTACTTACAGTATGCAGAATATTCTCTGAATCGGGTGCCTTTTGGGTCTTTATATCTTTGAAAAATGAAACCAAAATGTTTGGTCATAACATCTGGTAGTGGACTACTTACATTTTCCCACCTCAGGCACAACATATAAATAATTACTAGGAATTTCCTTGAAAAAATGTAACATGGTTGACATTTTTGACAAAAAGTAGGCATGAGACCTTGTTTAGCTAAGATATGGCACCACATGGAGGTCAAGGACATTACAAAATTGTAATATTTTGCAAAACTATTGTTTATTTTTGTAATAAACAATTATTTACTATTATTAATTCATATAACATAGTTGAAATGTTGAGCTTGTCAATCTTAATCTGAAAATACAAAAACTGAAATATAGGTAAGAGAAGAAACTGACACTTTTGTGATGTAATTCCCTCAATGCAGATCACACATGGACTGATCCATTATTTTTAATAGGAGGGTAAATGGTATGGCGTGACAGGGTTGAAACAAACTGAGGGACAATATTGCAATTTCATAGATAATTCAAGTATTTTTTCAGAATTGATTTTTGATCAGTTAAAGTTGACAAGCATATGATTATATTAGCAGCAACATTTTGGGATAATTGGCCATTTTGATTTGTTTAATATTAAATTAATATGTAATAATGCTTAGTGAGGACATGCAAATATGTCTGTCTAAGACAACCAATTTTTGTGTCTGTCTAAAACAAAATATATATTTAATTTTACATTGTAATGCAAAACAACCTGTTCCATGAATTCATTGCTTTAAAATACATTTTGTAGTTTCCTTTCATTTAAAATGGTTGAGGTAAGCTTGGGGGACTCAAAGGGCACCCGATTGTTTGTCTGAACACCTTGTTTCTCTTGTGCATTAAAAACACTTGTGTTAGGGCATGAATTAACAATAAATAGGTTATATACAGTATAAAATACCACGTACTGTCTGCCCTCCTATGCCACCCTGGCATGACCTCTTGCCTCCCCTTTGCCCCCCCATGTAAAATGTTCTAGAACCGCCACTGCACACAACTATGGTGTAGTTATGCATTGAATGAAAAAACTTGGGTTGCAGGTTCCTCAATAGTGCATTACAAGACATCTATCAATATTTGTGCATACCTCCAGCAATGTTAACTATGTTGAAGCACTTATTTTAACTGATATTATACATAATGTATTATACTCTTATAAGATGTATGTAGATATTTCATCTCCGGCCTTGTCAGGTATTGAACAATCAATAAATAAAGAACACAGAATTGTTGAATATAAAACACAGAATTTGTGTGATTATACTAAATGATTTACAAATAAACACCACTGCATATTTAACTGTTACACATGCTGATGTAACGCAAATGTTCCAACTTGGGATCAATAAAGTATATCTTATCTTAAGCTGATCGATGGTGCCATATTTGCAAAATGTGCCTCTGAACCTTGACAAGTGCATGTTTCAGGCTTATCAATTAATGTAATGTAATGTAATGTTATCAATTAACAACAGGGGTCACAAACATAAGACCAGCTGTTAAATAAAGCTCTTCTGACCTTAGCTGGCATGTGTGTATATATATTAATGCTGCCCATTATGGGCACAAGCAATTTTCACCCATTTATTAATTATACGTTTTAAATGTGAGTGTTTCCTATCCCCTAAACCTCCAGGGATGTACACAGTTTAATACTGGCAACTTCTTATTATGGGAAATACGAAAACGTCTTTTAAAACTAAAACTCCCAGTAGAGACGTGCCATAGATAGAGAACATGTTGCGAAACAGAATAGCCAGCATTTGTAGTTCTGGGGACAGGGTGGGGGAGGGGGGACGCGGTGGACCCGTTCAAATCCAGTTTTGGACAGTCTGCGTGGTTCCATCCCATTTCAAGTGCTGTTCGAGGCTCGGCGTAACCCTCGGAGCACACTCTCCAATCACAGAGCTTGAGGACTATCACGGGGTTTGTCAAACAGAGCACATGGTGTAGTCCAAACGATAGCTGGGGATTCTGGGTAGTGTAGTGTCTGCCATCCTTTACTCCGAAAAAATATTTGTTTTTCCGAATCGAAGGGGAAAAATACAAAAGCATTGCACACAATTTAAACCAATCAATGTTGTGTAATTAACAAGGATAATCTGGTGTTTTTTAGTCGATGAGTAGTGCAGATATCACTGTAAAATCAATCGACAGTAAGGGGAATACTTACTTCCGGGTGTACAATTCTCCGTTATCCAATTAGAATAGACGCTCACATTGCCTTTAAGGGCAGTCGACACAAACAAACGCTGTGCTTCCATGAGCGTCCATAGAAGCATATGGACATCCCGGAAAGCTGAAAATGGACGCTAAGGGCCCCCCCCCCTTGCGTTGAAAATGGACGCTAAGGCCCCCCCCCTTGCGTTGGAAAAAGCCGACACAGGGGACTTGACATAACGTCAACATAGGCCGACCTGGGAGTGAGGATGTGTTGGTGTGTGCGGTTCTACAAGTGCAGTCCTGTAACTGCTGTCTCCGACGCTGCAGCTTCATGCTACTCCACACCGCAGTATTTTTTTCTTTTTTTTTACCCAAAAAATATATTGTATATTATCGGGGCTATTAATACTGTTATCGGGATGACGTCATAATTCCTAATATCAGACCTGCATCCCTTAAAAAAAGAGGTACTTATAAAGTCAAGATATAGTGAAATGCATCACACTGTATCCCATTGAGCCTCCAACAGTTCATTCACACGCACCCACAGAGCATCCATCTGTCATCTATCACCAATGACACATTTCCTTCTTTTTTTTCCGGGATGTTGTGAGGAATGTGTGCTCATACTGAACATTTAAGTATAAGAAAGCTGTAACAAGTCGATGATAAGGGAGACATTTGCTACCCTGCAGATTCTGCAAAGGATGTTTTCAAGACATGCAAAGGCTCTTCTCACATGCAGTGGCTAGGGAGTGAGCAGGAGTGCACCCACAAAGGCCATTACACCATGATGCTGTGCTGTGAACTGAAGTTGAGTGCAAGGCAGGAGCTGGTGTGAAGAAAGAGTTAACTGTATAAAGGGGAAAGATAAACACATTACTGCCTCGCTAGTCGCTGCGAGTAACATAATGAACTCCTAATCGCCGCTGAGGGTGTAATTCATCTATGAAATCAGCAGCAAATTGAGATGAAGAAAATCAGTTTCTGATCCATCTCATGCAGTAGCTTAGTAGGAAGGATATTGAACGGCGTGCCTCTCAAAAGGTTAGGAGTAACACTTTCCTGTCAGCATCGATATTCTGAGAGTGGAAAACTTCCCCTACACGCCGTCATATACACACGGCCTGCCAAGCAGCAGGCGCAGCTCACAAGTCCTGCCGATGCATCTGTATTCTGCCGTGTGCTTGCCAGATAAGCAATGACTAGCGTCTCGGGTCAAAATGTCATATTCTCAATCAACTCCAGTAGCAGCGAATGTCAAATGCTTTGTTGAGTAGAGCGCAGCTGTCAAGAGAGGGAATGTGGTGAATCAAACTTGCATGTATCCCCCCATTTCTCCATGCATTCCCCTTCTCCCTCCACGTCCACAGCCAGCTTGTGTCTATCTCCAGAATAATGCATAATAGTATATGTTGAGGCCAAGGAGGGAACGCGTGAAGATGATGGCATCTGGAGCCGCCGGCACCCCCATCCGTATCAGCCCTTTGGAATTCAGGATTCTTGTGCTTAACATCAACCTTCTCTCTGCCTTTCTATGCATATTTTTGTCTGGGGTGGTCCTAGTGTGGGTTTCCATGCACTTCGGAGGCGTGTGAATGTGAAATCAAAAGAAAATGAACCCATAACTTATACATTCACTAAATGTGTGTGTGTTTGTGCTCCCTTTATAAACTGCTTGAATTTTCATGTTGTGTTTGTACAAATGCATGTGCGCATGTGTTTGAACAAGATAAAAACAGGGCGAAAGAATGAAAGAGACATTTGTAAGAGCAGGGAGAGACACAGACAAAGAAAAGGGTGGCGACAAAGAGAGGGAGAGGAAGCTAAAGAAAAATAAATGACTCACCTTCTCTGCCGACTGGGCTGTGCCAAAGAAAATCGGGATGAATGCCAGCCAGACTATGCATGTGGTGTACATAGTGAATCCAATGGGCTTTGCTTCATTGAAGTCTTCTGGTACATCCCTTGTCTTGATGGCATAGATGGTGCAGGTCACCATCAACAGGATGCTGTAGCCCAACGAGCAGATTATCTGGAGGTCTGTGATGTCACACTTCAGCACGCCGCGGGCCAGCTTGGGGTTGATGGTTTTCTGCTCATCGTAGTCGATAATGGTGTTAGGAGGGTCCACGGCGAACCACACCAAAACGCCTAGCAGCTGCACGCAGATCAGACTGGAGGTTATGGCAATCTGTGAGGTGGGACTGATGAAGCGAGGGGCCGTGACCGTCTGCTTGCCTTGCTCGAAGATACGATAGATGCGGTTGGTCTTGGTGAGCAGCGCTGCGTAGCTGATGCACATGCCCAGGCCCAGGAAGATCCTCCTGAAGGCACACACGGCTACATCAGGCTTGGCGATCATGAGGAAGGTGATGATGTAACACAGAAAGATGCCTGTTAGCAGCACATAGCTCAGCTCCCGGCCCGACGCCCGCACGATGGGCGTATCATTGTAGCGAACAAATGTCGCCATGACAAAGATGGTGGCAATGATCCCCAGCATGGCCAGGAAGACGGGGATGATTGCCCAGGGAGAGTGCCACTCCAGTTTGACAATTGGAATGGGCTGGCAGGCGGTTCGGTTGGGATTGGGCCTCATGTTGTAGGCACAGAGTCTGCAGGAAGTCTCATCATACTGGTACTGGTAGCCATCACATAGCTCACAGTGCCAGCAGCATGGCATGCCCTTTACCCTCTTCTTCCTCTCTCCAGTTTTGCAGGGCAGGCTGCACACAGAGATTGGCACCTCCTGCTCCCCATCTGGCCACTGAAGCTCCTCCAGCTGGTACAGAGATGACACACAGAGCAAGAAGATAGGGTTAGTGATGGAGCAGTAAGCCAGAAGTACCACTGAATATAAAAATGTATGGGGATAGTGTTGTGTTTTGTGCATGCCCCAACATACACTCCTAATTCCTTTATTGTTCTTCTCATGAGGTAACAGTCTTTGCAAAAACCAAGTACAATGCAGCTGAAGAAAACAATGACCTAATACAGCAAAGCATATTTATTGCCAATTTCAGAGGGATAGTCTTTTCTTATACTTGAATTTAATTGAAATCACCATGGCAACAGAGCTTACCTTCGTTCAGTGAAATAAAGAAATGTGAAATGCAAAAGACATTGTGTTTTAATACAGAAGCCAGTGAGGTATGAAAATATGTGATGATAAAGAAGGAACATGGGACTCTAGGATTGCAAATGCCTCTTTTAGACGTTGCAGAGCTATTTCTATTTATGATCTTGTCATCAATATGAAAAGTGCAGTGTTTCATGGTTTAGGCTCAAACTATAATCTCAATGTACAAGTTGCCTTAAAAAACCGTGAAGAAATTGAATTTTTTAGGGTTCTTACATATTTTGTTAGTGTGCTAAAAAAGCTTTCATAATACTCTGAGCTGATCTTTTAATTTATTTTGAAAGTGCACTGAACCATGACTTTAAAAGGAGCAGAAGATTAATGATTCAAGTAACCAAAATAAATCATTTGGAGTCCAACAAACAGAAAGAAACATAGATAACTACATATTCCAGTAGTGTGATGGTTACACATATTTGTATTGCCCTCTAAAACTGATTTAGTATGGCAGATTTAAAGGGTGCTTTGAGACAATGAGTTTGAAACAGCCTACATTAAAATCGTTGAGTGGCATGGCATAAAACTATATTGAAAATGAATAGCAATTAATTTCCAGTATAATTTCTGTTGTGTGCATTATGCCTTGATGTGAATTGAATTCATGAAAAGGAACCCTGTGGAGATTCAGAGCTATAATAGCTATTTGAAGCATTGTGACAGATCGGATCACAGAGTGACTGACTCCTCCACTGACAGCTGACACACACACACACACACACACACACACACACACACACACACACACACACACACACACACACACACACACACACACCACACCAAACATTTCCTGCTCTCTTCCGTGAAATGAACCATGCAATTTATTATTTATTTTGCGTTTGTTAATTATGGGGAATGATTGTGTTAAGAGGTAGTTAACCTGTTTATGTTTGGGTCGGATTTTTATGTTGACAATATGGTTTTGAGGTAATTGTGTCACCTGTTGACGGTAAGCCTGTGGTATTACCAGGCCCACCCAGTTTACTCATTGGCCCACCCTGAGAAAGCTTCGGTGTCATTTACAAAAAAAAGTTTTTAAATTTTTAATTATTTTTAATTATTTCATTATTATTATAAAAACATGTATTCACCCATTGAGAATATCCAATAATTCAAAGTGAAATTCAAGTGAACAAATATCGAGTTTAATTAATTTTGTATGTGTTTTGTCCTCTGAACCGAACTCATTTAAGGTAAAAACTGATTGTTGGATCCGGCGCGCGCCATAATAACGTGAGAGAGGCAGAGAGCTGCCTGCAAAATAAATGATGGCTCAAAGTTCACTAATGAACTTTCTTTTTTTTTTTTAAAGCCAGACTCCAAGAAGAGTACACTGCCCTCATCTAGCATCATTTTCTGATAACGATTAAATAGCCCCGCCTCCCTCTCCCCACGTCTCCCTCCCCACCATGCTCCCCACCTCTCCTGCTGCTGGGCTGTCAGAAGAAAACAAATGTTAACGGAAACTCTGCCGCACGGTTCCCTCGTCCCTTGGAAGAGGCGGAGAGGTGGGTGTTTTTCATCTGCTGGTGGACAGTCCGGAGAGATATACACAGGGTTGGGTTGTAACGGAATACATGTAACGGTGTTACGTAATCCGAATACAAAAATCAAGTGTATTCAGCTGGCGTTACATTTGAAAAACGAGTAATCTGAGTACAGTTATTTTCGTAAACCTGAAGTGAATACATTACGGAATACTTATTGGAATTATTGGTGGAAAAGTTTCCTCACAAAATGTAATATTCATTACGGCAGAACTGTGTGCACACTGCACGGCGCTGCAGCATGTCTGTGTGCGAGAGAGAGATGCAGCGTGTCTGTGAGGCCCCGCCCCCGCACGCAGATGAGAGAGAGAGATATCTTTTAAAAAATATATCGAAAGTTAGAAACGGCGATGGTTAGATCAAATGTGCAAGATAACGTTTATGTAGCATTTCTTTATTGTCGAAATGATGACATTTCATAACGGGATCAAATCAGACCCGGCGCCAGAACAAATCCAAAGGGAGGGCATATGATTTTCATGGGAGGGCACACAAAACAGTCACGTGCTGCGGGACTGCGGCACAATATATATCAAACAGCAAGGCCAACAGCATCGTGTAAAGACGCACACTTATCGTAAATACATACACAAATAAAGGGCAACATAGAAACCACTTTTGAAACATTGTGTGCGTGGCAGCACAAACACTGGTAAATCACGAGCAAGGCACACTGGTTAAGGATGGCAGCTTCCTCATCGCTGCACTCGGAGAGAAATAAAGACGGAGACGATGAACTGTTTAGCCCGCCTTGGGCATGGTTTATGTTTCTATGCACTGCACTCGGACATGCTGTGGAGTGAACCGTGGTCACCTCTGAGAGGGAGTTGGTTGACAGCTAAAAAAAGCTATAATATCAACAACAGCTGACACGTAATAACGGCTCCGTGCCAGCTGATCTGAACCAAAGTACTTATTTCCTTATTTGTTTCCTCGTGTCTCTCTCTCCACAAACTCTCACATGAAATGTGTTCTTTTGATGCGGCATGCCTTAGCAGTCCTTTATCAGTCTGTAATGCGTGTTTCCAGTCGCAAAAACATTTGACAGTAAAAGCCACATCAGATGAAGACGTATTTACTTTAAACTGTCTACAGGGGAAACAAAAGGCTGCGTCTGCTTAACGAATATTCAAGCCATGGTCTGTTGTGTACCATGCAGCGGCTAAAGTGCGCTTCTTTCCTGAAAACAATCTCCCTGATAACGATCCAGTTTCACCTGGTTGGATTTATTAACCCCAAGATCATCTGGGGCTGTTGGTCTTTGAGCGGTTGCTGGCCCAATAGTACCTGTTGATGTGCTGCAAGGTAGCGTCTGTAGTGGAGGCACCGGCACGGAGGAGGAGGAGGATGCTGGCGGGTGTGGTACAGGGTGTGGCAACGCAGGTGGTGATGGTAGGGGCAACAAGGAGTTGTGCTTTGATGAGTCAAGGCTTGGGCTCGCTAACTCAGCCCCGGGGTTTGCCGAGGTCAAGCTTGTGACATTAAGGCGTGCTGCTGCAACGGCAGGTGCAGGGTCGCCAGCAGCACCATCGGCTGCAGTTCTTTCATCGCTATTTCGTTTGAATAAATCCTTAGACCTTTTGAGCCAATTTCTGATGTCCATTTTGTAATTCAAACAGAAATGGGAGTCTACAGAATGCACAATAAACAAATCCAGAATAGGCGGCAGAGTGTGACGCTGTGATTGGTCTAAATGTGGACGAATCACAAATCACAACAGACACATGCCTTTATTTGACGTAGCCTGCGATTTTTTGTTTTAGTAGCCTACTATCTGACATCACATACATCGTAGCATAAAAGTTCACAGTTTATTTATAATTAAAAAAATTACAAAATAAATATTTTTTGAATTTTTATAAATAATAAAATCGTGTTTATTGGGGGAGGGCAGGAATGTCAAATGGGAGGGCCTGGCCCTCCCACGGCGCCGGGCATGCATCAAATCAAAGTGAATGGCCTGCTGCTGCTGAATGCATGGGGCAAGTGACTGGAAAAAGTTTTAAAAGTTATTACATCGTTTCAGATAATAATAATACATAATAATGATAATTCATTCTATTTAGGGGCGCCTTTCAAAGCACCCAAGGACACCTTACAATTCATAACATATTCTAAGGAAAGGTTTTAAGACAGTACAAAGAATGCAGTCCGGGTGATGTTGTGTTTGAGTTCTTGATAAGCCATTAAAACAGTAAAATACGTGTCTCCTGTTCCCCAAAACATATCCATCTGTTATGGAAAAAGAAAGTATTCCAAAAGTATTCTAAAAGTAATCTGCCACCGGTACCGGCGGGGATTGTTGTTAGCTTCTGATGCGCAGAAGAAAAATCTGGCCCACCCTATTTTTTACAGGCCCACCCTAAAGTACATTTCTGCCTACGCTACTGCTCGGGAGAATGTTGCAGTGAAGCCAACAGCTGGGACGTGTTCGGGAGATTGTTGCAGAGAAGGCAACACCAGAGCATGTTTACTCTTTCAGTGATGGACGGCCTGATTTGGTATTTTATTTTGTTTGTTTAAGTTGTGCTGTTTCGCAATTTTTTTGTTGCTGTTAAAAATAAAGTTTTGGAGCTTAAAACAACCGACTAAGCCAATGTTTCGAACGGACAAATAGAACCCCCGTCATAAGCATGATCTAACGGAAAGTCATAGTATGCTGTAAAAATTCATAGTAGGCCTACTATAGTATGTCATAAAGTCAATTAAATGCATGGGTAAGTATGCCTTAACAAGTCTTATTATAGTGTGCCATTAAAAGTTATTGTATATAATTTAATAAAAGTTAAAAAAGGAACACTATAGTATATCCTGTACATTAACAAAGGGTCATAGTATAGTATTTAATACAGTATAAAGTCATACATCGTCATAATGAATTATGCCGTAAAAATTCATAGTTTAGTATGCCGTGACATGACAACAAAGTCATGAAAAGTCATGTTGTAGTGTGTCGTAAAATGTCATAGTTACTGTAAGTATGCTGTAAAAATTCATAATTTAGTAAGTCAAAATAAGTAAGGAAAAATTATAATTAAAAAAAGTCATAAAAAGTCGTAAAAGATGCTGATATAATAGGTCATATAAAATCATAAAAACTTCATAGTGAAGTCTGCTGTAAAAAGTTATTGTATAGTATTCCATTAAAAATAATATTAAATATCATTACAAATCATAAAAACTCATAGTATAATATGTCGTAAAAAAGCTCATAAGCCATAAAAAGTCATAGTTTAGTATATCATTAAAAAGTTCAAAGAATATAAAAGTATAGTATGATACTACATTTATAGTAAAGTACACATTTTTTACATTAAGAATGTTTGGTTGCAAAAAATCTTATTATCTGACTACAGTAAGACTGCAGGCTAACCCAACACAATTCTCGATTTTCTTTTAATGGTAAGATGCAGGAAATATTATCTGACTATAATATCATGACAAAGTACATGTCAATAAATGTTTAAAAAAGCTATAGTATGTTGAAAAATGTCATTAAAAGGCATAATATATGATGTCTGAAATATTCATAGTTTAGTATTTCATTAAATAAGTCATAGTATAGCATGTCCAAAAATGTATTGACAAAGTAATAGAAAGGTATTTTGAAAAAGTCATACTACTGTATAGTTTGTCAGAATTTTATAAAAAAAGTCATAGTATAGTATGTTGAAAAAGATAATAGTATAGTATGTTGAAGATGTCATTAATGTCAAAAATGGCATTACAAAATTCATGTATGTCCAACATTTTAATAATAAAGTTATAGTGAAGTATGTCAGGCTGTCTCGGGTATAAATACCGCAGATCTTTCCCTCTAGAAGCAGTCACACTTTACAACCACCCTGGTCCCTGGTAGACCCCCCCCCACACACACACACGCACGCACGCACGCATGCACGCACGCACACACACACAACAATGTTGTAGCATAACACTGTGCAATATATACTTCAATATGTTCTACTTCATTCAGTTATTTCATATTTGTATATTCCTAATATTGCTACTGACCTTTTCAGACTTGGAATGTGTAATTATAATGTAATTTGATGCAACAGTGTAACAAACAAATGTCCCCTCTTTTAGAAAAATAAAGGAATTCAAAATGTCGAAAAAAGTCACACAACGTGTTTTTTATGCAGAAAGAAAGTCATAGTATAGTATGTTGAATATATCAGAAGAAAACGTCACGTATGCCGAAAAATATCAGAATAAAAACATTATAGTATGTCGTGAAACAGTAATAGGTTCGTGTGTCAAAAATATCAGAAAGAAAGGTCATAGTATGTCGAACAATATAAAAGCCATAGTACTTTATGTTGAAAAATGCCAATATTTCTTTAAAATGTATGTCAAAACCTTCTCTCTATTCCTCATTTCTAGTCTACACTGTCAAATCAAGGCAACAAATAATATAATAAAATCTATAGAAATGTCTTTATTCAGTGCTCATCTCTTCCTTTCTGTGATGTGATTTTAATATAAACCTCTATGACACATTAAACATGTGAAAACACTCAAAGACTGACCACTATCCAACTCATGTTGTTTTCTACCAAGTACAATTATTGTCACATACAAAATGAATCCAACAGCATCGCTTCCTCCAGATGTGACAACTGCCAACAATTACAGACACAGAGCTGCAACTTTGCTGCGCACGCACGCACGCACTCACACGCACACGCACACACACACACACACACACACAGTGTTTTTGTTGTGTACCTGTTTGACAAATGTGTTGTTTCTGTAGTGTCTCTGTAGATTATCATCTGCTAATTATCTGGGGGCATGAAGGTGCCATTTGTTATTTGGACAATGAATGGTGCATACTGGAAAACCTCCCGATACACACAGCGTGGTAACAGTAATGAGACCAACAGCTCTGTTGCTATGGAGACTGGATGCAATACTTTTGACACTTTGGACTCATTTTCATCTGGGGTTTCACTTCAGCTGTTAATTATACAGTTCATTTGAGTTTTTGTGAACAGGAGCAGCCTTTCATTGAATTATCAATGATCAAAACGTGTAAAAGAATAACCATTGAATGATCCTCATGTGTTACTAATCAAGGTGATAGCTATTGGAATATAATTGCACTGTAAGAGCATTTTGTTAGTAATCACGCTAAAACAGAATGCAGCACAAATCTCCAGCAACAGACGTTGTTCCACCTTTGCCATCCAATCCATTTGGTGAGTTTAATTCTTGTGAACCAGAGACATTATGCAAATGTTACCTCATCTGTATGTAAATGTCATGTTTTTTTGGGGTGTAATCTGAGTTACATAGAAATGTTCATCTTAGGTTTCATCCTTTCAAACAGCATGGACATTTTCAACCATGTTTGCCTTGAAATAAAAATAAAACTCATCAGTTGCTTTATTGTCCACATGAATCACCCAAGCCCATTCTTGTGTTGTGACAGTGAGATCTATCATTGTAGCCGCAAACCAACACCTTGCACCTATAAACAGCAGCACAGCGGCTGTGTTCCAGCTCTACACCTAGCCTGATATTAGGCACTATTTTTTGTGTAGGTAGTTATTCAAAGCTACCATGACATGTATCCCTTGGGCTCAACTATCTATGCAAAAAAAATACATCATTTTTATTGATATGATTTATCTTGCTCTAATGCAGTAGATGTACCTTAAATTCCATATGATTATAGATTTAGAGTTTAATCATATACAGTAAAACCAGGCGTGGGGAAACAACTGAGCACAGGAGTAACATAGGAGGTGTTTATTTAGGTGTCAATTCCCAACAACAGCTCTCTGCTGCCAAAAACTGAACATATATGGTTTGACACTTTGGGTTAACAACATGTTTTCTCCTCCACCCACTGAAATCACCGTCAGTTCTCTAAACCTGTGCAGAGGGAAAAGAGAGATCTGACAAATGCAGTGCTGTCTGTTGGTAACTGTCTCTATTATGTCTACTTTCTTACTTTGTAATGTATAACTCTAAAATCAAGCCCTCACTAATGTTAAGTCATGCCCTGATATCCTTTCACAAGAGGAAAAATATCAAATTCCTTTTAACAGCAAATCAAATGTGACACACTAGCATTTCCCTCACAAACTGATTTAAAAGAAAGATTGTCAGTTAAATTGCATGTTTTTTTGTATCTCTATACAAGCATCTAGTGACACATTTGATACTGAATGATGAAATAAAATGTTTCATTTAATTAAGTCTAGACTAAAAGTAAATTCCTGTAAAACTTTGGAATACGATTAACATTTGCCAACATTAGTAGGCAGCACATCAACTAAAGTGTGGGTGAACATGTTTCTCTTTTCATTGTTGGAGGAATATATTACTTGATTTGTCTTCTGGGTGGAGAGTAACACTCCCTCTTTCTTGCTAAATTGCACAAACACAATCATTTTGTACCCAAAAAACACCAATTAGATTGAAAGACAAACATGTCTGCACCTGACCGCTCTCCGTATTTGAGATGCAAATAATGTGCACCACCTTGTCATTTCCATTTTCAGAAACCACACAAAATATTCAGGCTTGTAAATCTGTCGCATCACTGAGCTTAGACATCCTGTTTAGATAGTATTCAAATGGCATTTTGTCAGTGTGTTGTGTTTCCAGTGAATCGTCATACCCTGAGCTGGAGGTTCTCCACCCACTGTCCTACTATCTTATACTCTGGGGTGGAGGAGTTGGTCATCTGGAACTGGTACAGGTCATAGCGTCCTGGAGCATCGCCGTTTTTGTTAAACACAACAGAGGGTGCCGGCACTGCCTGTACAGAGCGAAAGAGAGAGAGAGAGAGAGAGAGAGGAAAGGATAGGATAGAAAAGTGTTAGCTGTTGTGACACAGAGAGAAACACATACACTTTGAACCCTTGTCTTTTTCTGTGTGGTGTTATACATGGGCCACACCTGGGAGCACAGAGTGTTTGATCTGTTACTCCCAGTTAAAAGCTCAACACACAGTGACCTATATCCTCAACCTTTTATGATAATCACGTATACAGGGAAGCATGCTCCCTACTGACCAATATAGCCCTTCCTCACCTGCTTCCTATGCAGCATCACGGCTGCCACAATGGCCTCTGGAGGAATACATTTTCATATTCCAAACACTTGAATATATCAACTCTCAGCTGTGCTTTCATATCGGAAATTCAAATTAACGCATACCTCCTCAGGTAGGAAGAAATGCATTTCAATCACACAGTGGACAACAACAGGAGATGCAGGGAGGATAAACAGGTCAGCCGGAGCATCATACGGTCCCCATATGCTCGCAGTGTGCAGCAGCCTGTCTCAAGCAGAGCCCTGAAGATTTCTCTAATTAGCTCAGAGGTCTGCGGACACCTGAAACATTACGCATGAGGAAAATGCATTTTTTCAATTTGAGGGAGCTCTCGAGCCTGTCAGTTGTGTTGTGCATATCACTCAATTATGACTGCAGAGTAGTGTGTTCATTCAGATGTCAATCAACGCAAGATCTCTCTTATAGCAGTAAATGTTGAATGGCATTAATGTTTTGCCATTAATGCCATTCAACATTTACTGCTACAAGAGACTGTAGTACTTTATTTGTATACATGAGGTATGCATTGTTAATGAGGTCAGTTGAACTATCCAGAATGCTTAGAGACAATGAACAAGTGGTGCGTTTCACAAGTCTATTCACCTTGACACTGCATATAAGTAGCTTGTAAGCACAAATGGAGATACCATTTTTTTTAAATGGGACAAGGGGGAGTCTGATGCCACTTGGCATGGGAATTAAGTACTTTAATAGCTTTGGCTATAAAAAAGTAAAGAGAGAGGACCAGCAGCATATGTCCAAAACACTTTGGGAACATGTTGTCTTTTGTATCTGGAACAGTGCTCGTGGCTTTTGGAAGCAAGGCCACTGCACTTTTTCCTTAGTTTGCAGCCAGGAGGGAATTTTGTCTGCCTCCAGTGTTTCTTCCAAGGACATTTGTCATTGAGCATTCAACAAAAGTTTCTGGCCAAAAGTCTCTTGTTAAACAAGAAAGGCAGAGGTAACACTAGCAGGAGAAAAAACAATGTAAGACAACAGAATATGAGCCCAGTATATTAAAACGCTGTGGACATGCACCCAAAGGTTCCTTTTTGACCTTGTGACACCGTTGGGCATTGAGAATGTCAGTTTATAAGACTTAAAGTGTCCTTTGCAATGTTGATGCAGAGCCACAAATCCTTTACTCTCTGCTGTTGCGCTTTGTGACAGGACAATATATATATTAACGATATCATTAATATATGCAGTGAGAACCGCAGAGCACTTCACCAGGACGGAGCTGCCATCCATGGAGGACCTCTACACCCGGCGGCTCAGGAAGAAAGCCCTCAGGATTATAAAAGACCCCCATCACCCCAGCAACAAACTGTTCTGTCTGCAGCATCAGGAGTAAACCACCAGACTCTGGGACAGTTTCATCCCACAGGCCGTAAGACTATTCTTCACTTGAGCTTGCACTATTTTAATTTGTATTGTTGTTTTTTATATTTATTTTTGTTATGTCTTGAAGAACCTGCGTTCTGAGTTTTTTTGTAAACATTACATAACTAGACCGTAGCTGTGTATATGTTATGACAATAAACCTTTGAATCTTGAATGCAGATATGCCAATACTGGAGTAATTTGCTTAAGTAAGTCTTTTTGTTTCAAAGTAGAGCACTAATCATAGCTATCCATGTGTCTGCACAGAAAATGAATCAGAATTCATTTCGAGTGAGGTGGTGGTGAACACTCTTTTAGTGTAAAAACCCAACAAAGAACTCAGTGGGTGACAGTCACCCTCCTGTCACTTCTGCTTCCACCAAGCAGAGAGTAGACTGGTTGACACAGTGAATAAAGATGTTGACAAGGTATTGACTCCTGTGAGCAGGAGCTCTGGCAGGGGAGCGATCCTTACTATACGCTTCAGCGAAAACATGCAGCAAAACAAACAAACACACAAAGTCATTCAGTAAAGTGACATGAGTGATTGGGCACTTGGTGCTCTTCAGCTTTAGAGCAAATAATTAAGCCGTGTCTCTGCATGTGGAGATACAAATGCATTATACATTCCTTTTTTGTTTTCTATTGCCTGATATTTTCAAGGGAGCAAAATGGTCTGCGTTGGCTCCTTAGTGAGAACGCTGTCTAAGATGAAAGATTTATGCATTTGCATGTGGCTCTGAACTAAGACATGACAAAAAAGTGCACCACCGCTGTGCCGAGCAGAGTGGGTGGACCGGGGATCCACTGCTGTGTTTCTCTCGCATCATTATTCTCTCCTTTTCTTCTTCCTCTCAGTCTTCAGCTCTGTGACTCCAGCACAGTGGGGAGATCAACAAAGGAGGCTTACACTCCTTCGCTCTCAAACATACATTAGCAGAGGCACGTACACAGAATAATGTGCGTGGTTCCAGTCTTTAAATGCAATAAGGGGCAGTGAGATGTGCCTGACGGAGCCTCAACCGAACAACCTCTGCCTGCCAGGGAAAAGGTTTGAGAATATAAAAGCCAGACAGGAAGGAGAACAGGAGGTGGAGCAGGTATTCTTGGCTCGGGTGAAATGAACAGGCTTATTTGTCAGCGCCACAGGAGGGTAAATGTTTTTTAGAAAATGAAAATACCCCCAAGAAGTCAGCACAACCTCAGAGGGTTATTTAGATAGGACTGCAGATGCTCAGTCCCATGCATGCATCTGTACCCAGTTAAAGTCTGCTGAAAAAAGTTAGCCGTGCAAAGGCAATTTCATATATTTGTTACTTTAGTTCCACCTAAAAATGTCTCCTCACCTGCGGAACTCTGCCCTGCTGCCATAGCGACAGAGTTACAGTAGAGAGAGGCTCTTTAGGCTTTATCTCACTGACAGAGGTTTGGTTTCACGTTTGTTTACAAGGAGTTGTAAAGACTTATTAACCGTGTAAACATGATCAACATGCTGCTTACACTGATAAAACAAATGTGCATAGGATCACTCTTGGATTCATTTATATTGAGGATGAGATGCTATTGTTTTAATCCCTTAAAATAAAGATTATGGAGACATTTCATACTTTTTTACGATCCCCAATACCAAATAAAAACATATCAAAAAGGTCACATCAGTGTGCACCAGGTGACATGTTCCCTCATTGTGATAAATATGATCTAGTAATCTGCAGCTAGAAAGACTCCTGTTTGAGTAACGTTTTTTACCATCTATTGTGCCCAAAAAATACTGAGCCTTTAAAAAATGTAATTATACATTTATGACATATTTATAAGATTAATGTCATCAGTAGGAATGAATGTGACAGCCTATGCTATAGGGAGGCAGAATAGGCAAGTCAATCTAAAATATAGATATATTTCGACGCTGTATCCAAATAGACTAGTAGTTGGATCCTACCCTCTCAGCATAAACTGAACTTCAGGAATGTTTTACATGAAGCATAATGGATCAGGCTTTAGCAGCATTACCTTGTTAAACCCTCTGTTGCATAATGATAATATATGATCCTTGAATCTGGTTCTCAGCTGTAAAAATAGGTAAAATGAAATTATTTTCAGGAAAGGTTACTTATAGGAAAAAAGATCTTCCTGTGCCAGAGCCAGAGGAATTCATTAAAAACAAGAAATAACAACTCAAAATCTATGTTTCGACTGAAACTGATCTCAACGGGATGGATTTGTCACTCGCTTACAGATTAATTAGGAAGACACAAAACAACACAACCTCCCAAACTGAAACCAGCTACCATGACAGAATAATGACGCAAAATTAAATGCCAATTTAGTCGTATAATAAGGCTAGAAATCTGTTCAAACTCCTCAAGTTCTACCTCTGTTAATGACTGATGACACTATTATAGCGTGATTTAATCGGTTTTGCTACCGAGAGTTTGTTCTTTTTTGAACACGTGACACACTGAATGAAAGAAATATTTTTAAGTTACAGTATTCAATTCAATTCAAAACCTTTATTTATCCAGGTAAAATCCCATTGAGATCAATGATCTCTTTTTCAAGGGAGACCTGCAGTATGTATTTGAAAGAAAGAAATATGAATCCAGTGTATGTTCATTCATTTAACCAGGCAAAGAAACAACAAATATGTTGTTTATTAGAATTAAGTTTATATTTTGTGCATAATTTTGTGTTGAAAATATACACTGAAATAAGACATAATAAAGAATCAGGATCTAATCTTTTAATTAGTATGTCTATCCCACTTGAGTACATACTGTACAAGTACATTTTTCCTATATATCTAATAAAAACCCACATATAAAACATTCAACACTTAAGGACACAAAATAAGATGGGTCCTCCTTTTAAAGTAGGCCAGTTTTGTGAGAAGATAACGCTGATTCTGTACTTTAAACAGCTGAATCTTATCTAGAACATTTTGTGAAGACACAATGTACTTCAGAAGAGCCTTTAATGATCAGTGGCTGACATACATGCCAGCACATTTGTAATGACAAAGGTTTAAACTCATCTCCCATCTGGCTCTCTTCCTCCACTCACTCCTGCATTTCAGAGCAGTTGTCATTAATAGCTATTTGCCATTAATTGTTAAATATCTTCCCCATCTCTTTCTGCAAAGGGCTGAATAATGCAGAAGTTCAAGTACTGGCAGACCCATACTATATATCATAATCATATTGTCTCATAATATAACACAGTTCAAGAATATACAAATGGGTTTGAGCTATCATTTAAATGCTGTTTCAATTTAAATTGAAGCCGACACACAAGCAAGTGCATATGGCAAGTATAGAGAATGGGGGGTATTTTTTTCTCATTTGCCTACTTGTTTTAGTCTGAAACTAGCTTTATGTCCACACTTATGATTTTCTCTAAATTGCATTTTCAATTGACACTGGGGATTGATGTGGACACAGCAGCTTCAAGCAAATACTTGGAGGATAATGTAGTAGTTAAATGAATAGATACCACATTTTAAGAAGTACATCTATTTACTTTCTTGCCAAAAGTTAGATAAGAACATTCATGTAAACTTTCCTCTCAGTGTGGCGAAATACCTATAAATCCAATAGCAATCCCTCAAAAAATCAAAACAATGATAGAGCACACCATGTTTTTTTTTCAGTTTGAAGGGTACTTGTTTTGCTTTGGATGTTGTATTTTGCTTTGGATGTTGTATTTTGCTTTGATTTGACCTTTTGTCAGGAGTACACCCCCTCCCGCTCACTCTCCCCACCCTCATCTGGTCTGCTAACCATCCCCACTTCACGCCACGTCACCATGGGTGCTCGGGCTTTCAGCCGCTCTTCTCCCTGACAGTAGAACTCCCTCCTGCCACACATCCGACAGTCTGAGACCATCACAACATCCAAATCCACCTCAAAGTCACCTGTTCAGACTAGCCTGCTCACTGAAGGGCTCACCAGTCTCTACGTGTCCCTGAAATGTTATTGTTCTTGTCCCCCTCATTTGGGTATTTGGTTGTTTGTATGGTGAACACTGAGGCGGATAGCTACAAATGTTTTGTTAAAATATATTTAAAAAAGCTCTATTTGCTTGTTGGGCATTATGACTTGTTTTCTCTTTTACATTTCTATTTCTAACCGCTCAAAAATAAATCCTATCTGATCCATATTTAACATACAGTATAAGATAAGATACAATTTACTTTATTGATGTACAGAATTTGTATTTGAGATTTGAGAAAATATTGTCCAAATATTCAATCAACTCTGAGCAAGAAGAACATTTTCCAGAAAAATGTCCAATCATTTTAAAACCACGTCTTTAAAGGGCCCATGTCATGCTTTTCCGGTTATTACCCGTCCCCTTGTGTGTTATGAAGGTTTTTATGCATGTAAACGGTCTGCAGAGTCAAAAACCCACAAAGTACACCATGTAGCGAGTAAAACTCTAACACAGAAAAGACCTCCCCAAAACGCCTCGTTGGAGATTTCTCATTTACTTCCTGGGCACTCTGACGTGGGGATACCCAGAGGCCACACCCTCTGCCAGCCTTTCACGAAACAAAGCTTCCCAAACCTTTCAGCGATTCATGCCGGATATGTACAGCGTAGGGCACTGAAGAACGATGCTGTTCCTACCAGCGGGAGATTCGGGTACACAACCTGTAAGTATTCATTCATGTTTGTGTGTTTAAAACAAACAAGGTATCTACCACGACTGTTTCAATGGGTAAACGTTTTTCGGGCTACTAGGTTGGGATCGCGGAGAAATGCTCTCCGCAGACCCATTCCCCCCAGGGCGACTGTGGCTGAGAGGGAGTGCGGTCGTCTTTCAACCAGAAGGTTGTGGGTTCGATCCCAGCCCGTGCAGCCAACATGTTGATGTATCCTTGGACAAGATACTTAACCCTGAGTTGCTCCCGATGGCATGGCCAACGGTGTGTGAATGTTAGGTCGTAGAGCAAGTGGTACTGCTCTGTATGAATGGGTGAGTGACATGTAGTATGTAAAGCACTTTGAGGGGTCGTAAAGACTGGATAAAGCGCTATATAAGTACAGTCCTTTTTTTTTTTTTTACCATTCTCACAGCGTTATAAACCTTTTTCTTACTCAATATCAAGCCACACTTATTATTTTTACTTCGGCTGTGAGTGCTTGTGTGTGCTCAGGATGAATTTCGCTTGTTCTCCAACAAGCCGTTTAGGACAGAGAGTGAATACACATACTTTACAGAGATGCTGTATGAGAAACCAATGTGAGTTTGGAAAATTGCACAGTATAAATCTATTTTAGTAGACCTCAACAATAGAATTATGATCAGTAGAAATGGCCATGACATGGGACCTTTAACTATTCTTGTTTTTTTTCATGAAATTGTCCAAAACTAAAAACAAGTTTTAACCTTTATTTTCCCCTTTACACATTTTGGCAGCATTTTCTGATCTTTACAATGTGATACTCACCGTTGAAGCTGGTGTTTCGTATGTACTTCAGCAGAATCTTTCCCTCGGCAGTGTCCATGTGTGGACACACGCCAGGATGATCAGGACACAAGTCTCTATGCATGTTGTGCAGAGCGTGGGCCATGGCGTACACCGCGTCAATCACAAACTGCACCTTGCCTTCCTGCTCGTACTTAGAATCTGCACCGATGCGCTCCTTGCCTGAGGGCAGAAAAGGAAAGAGGAGGACTTGTAGTAAAATACACCATGAGCCATTAGACATTACATCCTCCCTGCACGGCCTATCATCCCCAGCTTCATTTTTATTCCTCCATTTACCATTTTCTGCCAGTGACTTCAATTGTGATTTTGTAGAAATGAATCCTAAAGGGACAATGTCGCACAGCAAATAAGACGACACATTTAATTCCCACATGGAAAATATCAAGCCGGGCTGCGAGACAAAGTGTCAGAAATACAGCCGGCACATATTGAATTACTGAGGTGTATTATAAAGTAATAAGCTGCTAAGATTCGACCTCACTATAGTCCCATCTGCAAGGTGATGAAGATCCCCATGGTCTTTTATAACATACTCTTGTTCAGGGGCTTCCTGCTTTTTTACATCCTCCTTCTAGAGCACTGCCCTTTCACTACTGGCTGCTGTAAAGGTGTTGCCTCATGCTGCTGATGCTCTGCTTGAATACATCATTTACAACCTCTGCTGGATTTCTGTTTTTGTTACGAAACGGAATTAGCCTTTTATTTCTCTGGTAGATGAAAGCTGCATTTCAAGGACTGAATGGAAATTATAAAAACAAAAATACTGCCATTATGTTCAGTAATAATCATTATAATCATCATCATCATCATCATCATCATCATCATCATCATCATCATCATCATCATCATCATCATCATCATCATCATCATCATCACTTCGATATTCAAGCTCCCAGATAACAAAAAAATGCACCATGGAGGAAATACATCTGAATACTAAAAGACAATGTTCTCCTCACTGATAGCTGCTCACAGCTCACATTGAGAGCTCAGCGGGGGGCAGATGTTGATAACAACACACATATAAGGAAGTGGACTGACTTGCATAAAGGGTCACAAGCATTCTGTGCTGACATTTCAAGTAATTTTTTTCAGATCTACACATACATTTCAGCCCACACATAACCTTTTAGCTTTTCAGAGCTCTGCATGGTGTGCTAAATGGACAGGCTTTGAATGCAAACGCCTCCCATTTTTATTTAACACCCATAAATATCAGCTCAGCTTGAGGTGTAAAAAAAGAATATAGAAACAGTTGGAAAGCAAGAAAAGATAAAAGACATTTACAGGCATTTTACAGCGGGTTTGTGCGGCTCAGTGAGTGGACGAGCATCTCCTGTCTTTGACGCATGATAAAATACACCAAACAGGAGATTATAAAGGAAACAAAATCCCCCAGCAAACAGTAATTTGTGTCAAACTGCCATTACCGTCATCACATATGCAAGCAAGATTAATACAGCATCCCACATCACAGGCATCATCCCCTTAGATAATGAATGCAGCGCAATGCCTGTCACAGCGTTGACAGGCAGGGTTTAGGTAATAGGAGAATGCATCACTGTTAACAACACTATCATTAATGTTTCCATAAAGATGGTAATAAAGCATAATGGGGGCATGTGCCATTTTCACTCAGCATTTTGTCCTTTTGCCTGTCATTTCCAAGCTAAAGAAAGTGTGCCTCGGCTCTGTGTGGTTAACACACACGGCACGACTCTGCTGAGCTGTCAAGGTGATGGGTTAAGGAGGAAGAGGGTGGGAACATGGGATTTAAGAGTTACAGGACATTAGCTACAGGAGCAGCCGGTGTGTAGTATGACTAAGACAGGTAATACATTATTATTCTAATAATAAATTCTGCCTGTCCTGCACCCGCTGGGTAGAAACACCTGGTGTAGGACTTTCTTGTGGGAATTAAAACCCAAACAGTGGATCTGCAGTTAGTGATGCGAACAAAAGATCAAGTTCACATCAACCTGACAAGCGAGGGTGAAAATATGCATCGTCTATTAGTGTAATACAGACTTGTCTTACATTGTTCGTGCCAAAAACTCATGTACCTGTGCATTTACGGCTCGTATCCTCTCTCTTCGAGGCACTGAGGAGCCTGCAGTCAAAGTTTTCCTCCCAGAATTCAGCAAACCACACGTTTCTGCGGTTGTTCTCCAGAGTGAGCCCAGTGAAGTATTCATCAAACCCTGGGAGCGGAGGAGAGAGGAGAATGGCTCAGTTCCGGACCAATTATCAACCAATTCAAACCTGGGGGAAATGAAGCGAGACTTGCTGCAGTGGTGTCGTGGAGGTGGGGGTGCCGGCCGCGAGATGTTGGAAGCATACCAGCAAGCACTACTTCATAAAAAATTGACCACGGAGTTTCCTCTTCCTCTCAAGCCCCCATGGAACTTTAATAACTTCTTTCATCTATGTTATTACATTAATTAAAAAACAGGATGCATAATAAATAACGCAGAGATTGTAAATGGTGGCGCAGCCTGTTGCCCCGGGCTGCGAGGTCCTGCAGGTGCTGAACAGGTTTTTTATTCCCTTCATTACAATGGAAAAGGATTGAAGGCATGATGCATTCGCTTAAGACTAATTTAAAAAGGAATTAGACGCCTGTATAGAGCATTTGCTTCAGGAAGGGTAACTTGCTGCAACAAAGGAAATACAAAGCTTGTATGGTGAATTTGTTCTTGTTTGTGCAACTTTTCCACCCAATGTGGGTCAGGGAAATAAACTGGAACATAACTTCATTTGTGATGCAGTATTTTTTTTAAACCATTTCACAATTCTCTTGAGAATAATCTGCAATTTCACATTTTTACATCTCTCTGTCTGTGTTATCCAGTCATATCAGATGAGTCGTGGGTAGAGGTGATAATGGCTAATTAGAGCTGAATGACTTTCTTTTCAAAAGACCATCAATGATGCATGGTGGATTAATAATATTCTCACTGCCTACAGAGCGTACATTTGTCCTGGGTAGACCTCACTTAATTACGGGAAGCCTCATAAAACTCAAGACTTTCAAATGTCCTCGATTGTATTAAGGAGCAGTTATTGAGACTGGGAAACCGGATGGAACATAAAATAAATGGCACATGCTGCGAATACTCCATTTCTGCTCAATCTGTTCAGTGTGTAGTATAATTTCTTCCTTTTTCTTGTTGGTGAACTACAGTTTAAAATCTACTCTTAATTTGAAAAGTTATTAATAATAGTATTTCTTTTGGGGATATAAAAAAGAAACCCTATCAGTTCTTATTATTAAAATCTAAATTAAAGCTTTTCTCCAATCCAATTATTCAACAATGATACCGTAGAGACCAGAGATACTAATTCCTCCGCAGCAGGCTGAGATTTAAGATTAATATTATTATTACACAATTTGGTAAAACCACACTGATGAATGTACCTGGGATGACACAGCAAAGGCTGAAATAGTTAAATGTACGAGTTTCGTGATCAAAGTACCCAATTTGTCCATACTGACTTTAGTCTGGTCATGTACTACCCACGGCCAAATGCAAGAACAAGGTCACACTTGTTCTCTGAGGATTGTTGGAAAGTCAATGTGAAAAGTAGAAAATTGCCAACTAAAGTGGAAATAGATGAGGCAGGGGGCAAAGTGGGAGCACCATTTGTATTTGTGTTGTGAAAGGGGTCACTCCAGGTGATGAACCCAGAGAGAATGATCACCTGACTCTGCATTTCCTCTCAGGTAGGGGCCCCTAAGCTCTAAATCGTTGTTAATGCTAAAAGCAGCTGTTTGCCTAAAAATTCACCATATCAACAGTTTAGGAGACCGGATGAATGTGTTTGAAGCTTGCTTTGCTGCCTCCCTCGAAAAAGATCCCCCAAAGCAGCTGTGATCGATATTATTTATTAACAGCAGATTACACGTCTACTTCACCCAAATAGAGCTAAAAGGAGATTTAATAGTAAAAACATGAGTCCAAATACATTCTTATGGGACCTGTAGCAGCAATAACTCCCTATGAGTTCGCTGCTAAGAGGCTAAAAAGTGCTCTTTGCTGTGACGCGTTCCATGTAAGAGTCCGTAGTCATTTGTAGTCCATGGTGTTTAATAATTGAACTGCTGAATATGTAAAAAGGCAATGTGTCAGTGTTGGGATCACAACTTGTTTCACATCTCAGTGACCCAAACGAACGATGATTGCCTGATGTTTTTCACACAATTTTATAATAATATCTTTGAAATGTTTTCTTTTTTTTGAGTAATTATACAGACACCAAAAACTACACTACACTACAGACTAGACTACACAATTGAAAAAATGTTGAGCAATAATCTGGTTCTCAGCATTAATATCTTTGTTAATAACAATATAACATTGTGTACATTTTAATGTATATTTTATACATTTTGAAATATTTATTGTTTTTATAACTGTAGTACAATGAGCGCATTTTACTTTAAGCTCTTATGTAAATGTTCATTTATATATCTTATTGTATTCATTTTATTTTCATTTTGTTTTATTGATCAGATTTAATTCTAAATCCATCAGGACCAAAACCTCTCGCAACAGTTTCTTCCCCTCCGCTACCGGCCTCATCAATAAGGCCCCCCCCCCATGACACTTTACTTCAGCCACATCATAAACTCTATGCATTACACTAATGCACACAATGCACAACAATATCTGTTTTATTTTCTTATTACTGCCTATTTTTATTTTTATTCCATATTTTATTCCTTTTTATTCCATTCCATTGCAATGTAAATACTGTTATATTTATATTTTACTATAGTTTTCTATCTATCTGTGTTTTAATTGTTGTTTTACTTTTATGTATACTGTACACCACAACACCTAGTCAAATTGCTCGTAAGTGTAAACCTACCTGGTAATAAACCTGATTCTGATTCTGATTCTAAAATGAGGCGACCGTAACAAAACCACCTTTCCATCCTGGAGTAATAAAGTATTCTGATTATAATAGTACCAACAAAATAAAAGGTAAAATAGGAAAACAACACGTGGTGAAGCCTGTAGTGTGAGTCTCTGTGCGTACGTACCTTCGATGGAGGAGCGTTTGGGCAGGATCGTGACGGCTCCCACTGCTACATCCTCGAGCTGGAGGATGGGGTTGCCTTTGGACCCCCAGCTGTCAGATCCAATCCACAGGAAATGGCCCACCTGATTGGCTCTCTTGGTGGCATTGAGAACTCCCCTGCAAGGACATCCGTATTAGAATTAGGAGAGAGCACAGGGGGTATGTGCAAACTAATATCTATTACACAAAAGCACAGCTGGTTTAAGGACTTGGAAATTACACCTCTGGTTTGTACACTTCTTCAATTTATCTCGTTAAAGCTGAGAGAAAAAGGAGAGGATGTATTGTTATGGTTTTCTATTGTTTATATAAGTCATGTGTGTTTACGATAACAGGGAGTTACAATAATTAACCATCATGTCTTCCACTCCTCTTTTCTTTTCCATTTCATGAGCATTCATTCTAAATGTACAGGTAATACATATTTGATTCTTTGCTTCTTTACATAAATATATCCCAGGGGGAAATGTAAGAGAAACAGCATCTCTCTGTTGCTTTGTTGTGATCTGTATTTCAACTTCTCCCGCAAGGCATGATTGTGTTTGTGTTGTTGGAGGTATGCCTGTGCAGCAGTGATCCTGTATGCATTGCAGATCGGTGCCTGGAGCCTGTCTTCAGGAGCTGCTACTCAAAGATTAAAGACCTCAACGTGGCAACCCATCAACGCGCCTAAACAACACGAGAGCAGCCAGAATGTGCAGTGCTCCTCACCGTATGTCTTCTTCACTGGCGAAGATGATGACTGCCCGCGAGTGCGGCGTTTCCAGCAGTTGTTGAATGGCTTTGTCAAAATCCTCCAGCTTGGGGTTGTGGGGAATTTTCAACGACTGGGCCATGCAGATTCCACCTTTTTTACGAGGGAGGAGTAAGAAATGATAAGGCCTCTGGGATGATCCACCCATTATCACTCTTACACACAGATGTACAGTAGGCACACTCTTACAAAAAAGCCTGGGGTCACAATAGCTGCTGTTTTCCGATGGAAATCTCAAGAATATTTAAATGGTAAACATGTCAACACAATAGTGAGCTTTGATGATGCAGTCATGGTTGCTATAGAGCCTAAATGATGGTCTTACAGTGTATACATTTACATTTTGGCAATGATATGAATACCACAGGCGCATGCAGTATAACACTCAAACTGCAGCTTTCGACTGAGCACTGCAGTCATTCCACAGAGAGAGGGAGTTATAAACATATCAGCTGTAACCAATTCAATAATCCAAGCCAACAGGGACATATCGCTACACGTTTCATAATATGGATTTGAGAAAATCCAACAGCTTGCCATTGACTTTTCATTAAAAGTCATTATCAGACATAACTTGTTGGACCAATCAGATAGCACAGCTGGCAATAACAAACAAAGAGAATATTAATACTGACCATAAATCATTCTCAGACAGGTCGCTTCTGATGAGTTTGTACACACTCAACAAAGAAAATCAACGCAACAGTTTGCATCGATGTTTATTGAGTTAAGACAGCTTCTAATGAAATTGTCTCAAAGCAACAAAGTTATTTGAGTTAGGGGAGAAGGCTTTTCCTCTACAGTCAGAGGAGTTTTTAATGACCACTTACTTAATAATTGGTATTATAAACACAAGTTTTGAAGTTGATTACTCAAAAGATTAAGTTGTTCCAACTTGTTTTACCACATGATTTAAAAGGGATTTTAAGTTGTATGTACTTAATTACCATCATTGTGAACACACGTTTTTACGTTGACAACCATTTATAAATTAAGTTGCTCCAAATATATTGTATTCAATAGTTTTTTTTCTTAGCTTTTTCATGTTTTTGCCTTTAAAGAAAGAAACTAATTGATTCCACAAGAAAAATATTAGGCAATTCACTTTTTATTTTGAACTGCAGTTGTTTATCTCAACACATGATGTTTCAATCAGGAGAGAATTCATTTTGTTTGAACATTTATTGACACATGCCATATGATAAGGTGCATGAACACCTGAAATCACAGCTGACTGCAGGAGAGAGGAGAACCATGTTATAGTTTGGCTGCAGCACGTTGATTGGCTGCTGGAGAATGAGGTGAAATGTAATAGGTTAAAGAGAACGCCTGTGATGAGCTGATTATACAGTATGCAGCTGTGGAGTGAATGTATATACACCCAGGCCCTGTCTCAGGTCGACTATTTTCATTTCCTCCTCGCTCCTCGGTCTCACCGGAAGTTGATTTGTCTGCGCCATCTTGAGTACCGTCCCATGGCTCTTATTTCTGCCGGAGGACCGAGGAGCGAGGAGCGATAATGGAGGAACTGAGGAACCACCAGACCATCCTCCGATTAAATCCTCAGACACTCGCCCCGCCCCCTTACTGTGTATCGCTCACTGATTGGACGAGGCAGTGCATGCACTGATCTGATGCTTCTTGACATGAGAGCAGTTTCCTAGCGGAGTGAAGAAAATACATGAACCTCACGGGAGTCACTCCTCAGTTTATACCGTGTTTTTTTTCAATTCATGTATCATTTAGTTACAAATATGTGATATATCTGAACAACAAAGTGGTCAAAAATCATTTTATTCATTTATTGGAAACATTTTCATGATCGCTTTTTTCGTTTTATATTTTCATTTATTGTAATTTCCATTCAGTCAGTCATTAAGTGCTATTAAAATGTTAATGTGCTACATATCCACACAAACACACAAAGTGTACAATCCAATGAATGTTAATCTAACTGGGTTTTGATAGATAACATATCTCTTTTTCTTCTCTCAATTATTTTATTTATATTGTGCACTCTCAATATTAATCAAACTATTGTTCGTTTATACATTTTAAGAATGGCGTTTATCTTTTTTGAGAATTAGTTCTTATTTTATTTTATTTATTGGGGTCTACAACAGATGATACAAATGTTTGTGTCAGTAAATGTGTGGCGGGGGTGTTTGTGAAAATAACGGGGACAGAGCTGCTGTAAGACGAACAGCTGTGCGGCGTCATCACAAACGGACGTCGCTTCACGTGACGCCCCGGAGGAAAGGACGTCCCATTGCTCTTAAAACTAATTTCCCTGCTTCTCGTGGTTTCCTTGCGTCCCTCCATGCTTCCCTGGAGGGAGGGACTAAACACAGGGAAACGACGCAAGTGAGGGAAGCAAGGATTTAATTTAACCGACCTGAGACGGGGCCCCAGTCTTCCTGAAAGAACTTGCGCTGAGCTTCATTTAAATCTTGAGAAAAAGATAAATAACACAAATTTCAATTGCCCCACAAATAATAAATAAACACATTAGCCATATTACCATGGGAAATGTGGACACAGCAAATAAATGCTGCCATCACAACGAAGTTAGAGCCCTTTGCATATTTAAAACCAGTGCCAAATATGTAACATCTCTAAAGTTTTTGTAAAACTACAGTAACAAACTTTCAATGGCCACCAATCTGCAGATCACACACATCCATTTTACAAAAGATGTAACAAAGATGTTTACACTGCCGTTAGTCATTATTTCAAACAGTATGAACACATTTAACGCAGAATGCTTGCTCATTCATTTGTTTCCCTCGACCACGATGGTTGCCATCGTATGGTCAGATCCTGGGTGGACCGGTCACTGATGAAGGCGATATTTATGTCCTTTTGAAGCACATTAAATAATAGGTTAGCGCATAAGAGATAATGAATTAGGTAATTGCATACTTTTTAAACTGTCACTCTTAGCGAATTCAGAGCCATTATTACCAGCTGCTAAAGCAACGCTGGTATTGTTTTCACCTATTGAGTCTGCATGTGTGTGTCGTCATAGCAATGTGGTCCTGAAGACACACCGAGGTGCTTTTGAGTACTTTGCTTAGTGTTTAAATGCATGTGGACAGATTTTGTCAATCACAACCGTGCAAGTTTTAGTGTCCCTTCTCATCTTTTTAGCAGGTTCCATACAATATGTGAACTGGTTAAGAAGAGCAGAAGCCACTTTTCAAATTGACACTCCTTTTCCCATGCCATTGCTGTCAACACCTATCCATGCTGAACGCTGCTAAGATATTATTGATTGGGGTGTGTCCAAAAGTGCAATATGCTTCAAAATGTAGCTGACAGAGAGCAGTGCTTTTGTCAGAGAGCACTGTGCCCATGGATTTTATTTTATTTCAAGATTTTTAATTACGCCGCTAAACTCCTTGAAAAGGTCCTCTTCCTTTTCTCCAAGGTACACGACAAGGCAGCGGATGGCTATAGTTCTCTGCGTACTTCAATTGTATTGTGCTATTTTTGAAAAAGGCAAAAAAGAGAAATGACCTAAATGAATATATTCTGAATGGGTGACTGCCAACAACTTGCATTTCAATGACAACTCTAAATAAGGATCCTACCTCAAGAAGCATCCTTGATCTCCTTCACCGAGATTCATTTAGAATAAAAAGCGATATCACAATAGTAACCAAAGTATTTGTACTCTCACAGTAGCCTCTACTACTTTGTATCCTCTCACAGAACTATTCACAGTTCAAAGGCTGCTAATTTTGGTCAAGCAGCAATTTGCCATATAGTGCAACTACAAGGCTATCTACTGTATTTGAATGACAAAAGATGACACTCACCTTAAAATGTCCTTTGTATATTTCTATTTGTCTTAACTGTGGGAACTTGTCCAGGCATGTTAAGTGGGATTGGACTTGAAATCCTTAACTCAAGGTGTAGAACAATTAAGTTATCAAGCCAATTGCATTACTTACTACAACTTGAATTTAGTTTTAAGTCAATTAATGCAGAAATCAGAGTTCAAATTACACACAATATTAAGTTGATGTAATTACCAACATTATTACGTCAACACAACTTATAAATTAATGTTTGCAACTTAAAATGTTTATCTAAATCAATTAACTCACATTTTTATCTTGCAAACATGCATTTAATTAAGTGGAGGTGAAAGGTCGCCTGAATTTGTTTTTAGAGTGCAGGATGAAGGGTACTGATTGCTTACATGCGTTACTAAATAGTTGCTATGCACTGTATTTGGCACAGTGTATTATCCCATTTAGCTTTTAGCATTTTGTCAGATATTGTTGCCTTTAATGTTTCGATTAAGCTCAATATTTTGTGTAGAAACAAAATTATATCTTAAAAAAACTAAAAAGTTGAGCTTTCCTCCATTATGGTAATTACAGGTGCAGGACAAGCTGACCTTTGAGGCCCTTTGGATAAAAAGATAATAAGATCACCTGTGCTGTGCAAAGGAACTACTTTAGGCCTGATTTGAGGGAGCAGTCTATGTCCTTAGTCAACAGCAAAGCTCTACACAAACCAATTAAAATGTATCCCACTTAAGCATTTTAATAGCCTAGCCAATAACCTTTCAGTTTGAGTTTCCCTGAGTAGACAGAGAAATGGAAGCATCTTCTAATTGCCAGTCTCCTCAGGCACATTACTTGAGTATAAACAGCTTTTAGCTGGCAGATCACACATCTCCAGGCTCAGTTTACTGTGGCATTTCTAATGGAAGAAGATAGAAAAATGACAACTGCTGAGTCTCCTCTTAACTATCCATTTTTAAGTATCAGCCGACAGAATTAGGAATATTTTCAATACGAGAAAAACATTTTGTATGTGCCAAAAGACCGCCGGGATGGCTGCTGTTATCCTCCCTAAGTGGACTCAACATACAAATGGAGATCCTGCAAATGGCCTAGCTGTTGCTTAAGGGTTTGTGGGATCCTGTTAAAGTGTAACGTGTTTGGTGTCAATTGTGCAGAGCAGACAGCGTTGTAGGTCTCCAAGGGACAGCACTAAAGCTCTCTCTCAGCACAGGGATTTCAGTTCAGCCAGAAATCCTACAGTGAAACTGCACTTCTAGGTTTATAGTTCAGGAA